ATAATTTTTGTAGCTATCAGTGATAACGGTTTTTATATGGCGCTCGATCTTCTGGTTATTTTTGATGGCGTTATATTTATCTAATTGGATTTGAGATATCTTCTTAATAGCTTCATAAATGTTTGGATGTTTTAACGAAGAAAATTCTGAATGCATACTCTCGAGGCAATCATTAGTGAATATTGCAGTTGCATTATTATATTGAGATATTAAATTGTAGTGCGGCAACCAAACTTTGTTGAAATAATCAATATAATCTTTGATCGAATCAACTTTATTTTGATTAATTATATGCATTGTAAGTACAAATTCTTCATGAGACATGAATGGAGTAATAGAATATAGCTTAAATAAAGAATTTTGTAAAGTATTGAAATTTTTTGTATAAAGTGCTACAAGTTTCCTGTGTAAAGCTTGTTTGAAATGAAATAGGCATCCAATTATACGGACTTTAGGGAAAATTTGTTGAAGTGCCTCTATCATTCCCTTTTCAAAATCACAATGAATTTGAATTAGCTTTGAAAATTGAATACCCTTGACAGTAAAAATATATTCAAATGCCTTCTTATAAGATTCAAATGTGCGGTTTTTCATGAATATAAATAAAAGTGGTAGATATTGATTTGTTGAAGGTTCACAAATCATAATTGTTAGCATCTGTCCTTTTTGAAAATGTTTTGGTGTAATTTTAAAAGTTCCATCGCAAAATAAATCTGTGGCTTCTTTTGCAAATTGAATTGCCTTCTCAAAACCAAAAAACATCGTCTCACAATTTGCTTGAAAATCATGGCCAATGAAAAACTGCTCGCCATTTATTAAACAAAAATTAGCAATTTCATCGTCTGTAATTTTTTCTCCAACAGAAAATTTTCTGGACTTATTATAAACTTCCCTGACCAATGAATCTTTAATTAATGGGTTTTCATCAGTACCAACAGCAAGTTCTGTCATAAATTTTTTAATCTGCTGAAAAGTGCCGTTGTCTTCAGAAAATTTTGCCATTGCCTTATTGTATATTTCTGTCAGAGTCATTGATTTATGAAGATCATTTTTTTCATTTTGTAACTTTTTAAATTGTCTGCATTCGGGTATATGTTCCTTTTGTAAATCTTCGGAAACTGAACTGTTCTCAATTTTAACTAAATAACGTGCTTGACAAGAATGATCGATGCAACGGTAGTAACGTTCAATATTATTTGAATTAATAATATTTGTATGATCATGCGAATAAAGCATATCTTTGCGAACAATTGTATCAGGATATTTTCCAGTAACTGCGGGAATATTTTTAACTGCAATATAACTAAAATATCTTCTGACAGCTTTAGATTCATTTTCGGCGTATTTAATATTAAAATATTGAAGAACTTGTTTGATTATATTCGTTTTTTCATCTCTCGATGTTGATTTTTGGTATTTATCAGATTGTTCCCTGATAAATATTTTATTTTCGTCTGTAAAGTTTGCTCTTTTTTGATTAAATATAGATGATTTTCCCATTAAAAAATGAAATGATGCAAAATTTACGAAAACCGTTCGAAAATTGAATCAAAAATGAAAAGTAATACTTAAATGAGGAATTCTTTGAGATATTGGTCTTAGATTGAATGTAGCGTCATTCTTATATAGAATATATATTCATATCATCGGAAATATGATAAAAAGCATATAATAAATGTCAAAAAAGTGAACAAATAAGCAAAGATATTTTTTAAAAAACAATGAAAAGTAATACTTAAATGAGGAATTCTTTGAGATATTGGTCTTAGATTGAATGTAGCGTCACAAATTTCACAAATATAATTTACTATACAATTTTATTCATTTTTTTAAAATGGCTGACGACAGTCTGTATCAACTAACTCAACTAGTCAAGCATAATGATTATTCTTCGGATTCATTAAATCAACTTTATCAATGCATAAGTACAATGACAGAAAGATCAATTGGATGCTTGAATTGGGATAAATTTTTCAAAAAAATCACAGTGACTGATGAAGTTCTTTTACATTTTTTAGCATCCGTTTTAAACATTGAAAAGATATCAGAATGTTTCAAGGATTCTATTTTTTATCACAATATTAATCTTGAAAAATTCAGTAATTTAACTGAAACAGAACAACAAACAATTTTAAATTCCTACAAAGCGGATAAATTTACATATTACATAATGTGCTCACAAATTGTAAAATCAAACTGGAACAATTTATCCCAAACTTTAGTTAATATTGCAAATCAATATTTGCCATTTTTAGATGAAGAAAAGCAAATATATATATTTACTGAAATAACTGGCAATTATCAAAATTTTGAAATTTCAGTTGCAAACTTGTTACTTTTTTATGAAAACAATGAAGAAAAATTAAGCAACTGTTTTAATTTAACATTGTTCCAGCAAATTTATTCCAAAAATGGAATCGAGCAAATGATATTTTTTGCTGCAAATACAATTTGTTGCAATAACACTTCTATCAATTTTTACAATCTCCTTGAAATTGAAGAAATGAATCCATTTGATTTTTTTTATTTCTCAATTCAATATAAAGAGATATTAAATTGCGATGATTTTCCAAAAGTTACAGAAGTAATCACAGGTTTAATCTCAGCTTCAAATATTAATGCTATTATGCGAATTTGCCAAAAAATTTTGGATAAAATTACATTTTATAAATGTAATTATTGCCATATTACCTCAATATGGAATTTTATCACAAATGCAGCAATAATTCTTCCTGATGAAGATTTATTAATCAAATTATTAAAATTCATAGAAAAAACAGAAAAAGCAACAGATGAATTATTCGAACCGGAGAATGATTTGGGTTTCTATGAATATTTAAATTCGATTTTCTCAGATATTACATCTGCGAGAAATAAGCAATTTCTCTTGGAATTTCTAAATACCCATGAAGATGACTTCACTTATGATCAAACATTGTGAGGTCATTTTTGATCAACAAATTAATTGAAATTCCGATCAAAAAAAATTCACAAATTGGATCAAAAAAATCGAATCTCAAGTTAAAAATAAAAAATTTCTACATTTTTATCAAATTTAGATTTTTTTTTCAAATCATGCGAATTGATTGAATAATTGCATATTTTATCCCATGCATCTAGAAGTATGTGTAATATTTTTGCTTTCATCAAGAAATTGTCGAATTTGATCTTAATTTTTTTTGAAAAATATACTTTTAGAAAAAGAAATAGTGATTGAATAGCTGCCCATGCTGTAAAAGGGTTATTTTTACAAGTAAAAAAATTGTTATTTTTCGAGCAAGTCGAGGCTTTTTTACCATCTTATTTTTGAAAAATTTACGAAAAATTATATCTGAAAAAACGCTTCATTTTGATATCTTACAATGATAAAATACCAATGTTGCTGGGATATAATAGCTACACCTGGACATCTACTACATTAATGCGTATGACAGGTAAAGTTGATTTCAAAAGTATAGCCTGGAAAGATTACAATAAATCAACGATAATTCAAAAAAATTTCTTATAAGTTAACATAATAAAAATTTAATTTTTATATTTCTTGTAGTATACTTAAGTATATAATATATTTAAATCTTAGAATGAAAATTCGGGACGCCCTAGCTATTCAATTTTCCCTTAGGACGCCCATAAACCTCTCAAAAATGTGATGTAAATATCACAATTTTGAGAAATTTACACTAGGACGCCTTAGGACGCCAACCCCCTTTTTTACCGATAACTGATAATATCTCTGATCATCATAACTGTAAAGTTCCGTTGCATTTGTTATTGACTTCTTTTAGACCCTTTATTTTTGATATACAGACTCATAAGCAGAGACGAAATCAAAAAATCCAATTCAAAATTTGTTTTAATGCTTGGGTCATTCATGTTACAATTTAAAAATAAGCTAATCATTCTAGTTTTAATATATCTTTTCTGTTTTCAGTTTGAAATTACCTGATTAGTGAAAGATTAAGTGAATGTTTTAAAACTGAATGCATATTAATGCCAAAATAGACAGCACTGAACTTGAAAGAATTCAAAAATTTGTAGGCAAACATAATTTTTATTCGTGAACAAATTTCAAGAAAAAAACAGTTCAACATATATTAAAGTCTAGCCCTGGAAAATTCAAAGTCATTTTTAATATGTGCTTCATCAAACAATGATCCCCAGGGATACATATTTGCAGGATCCTGATACTAATTTAACGACACATAGGACTGAATTTAGTAGGTTTTATGAGATATTGCTTGCTTGATATCATTACCTGATCTAATGTAGGCATAAGAACATATTTATTCCGTTTCCAATACGAACTCAAATGGACACATATATCTAAAAAGGAGCAAGCATATGCAAAAGTTAAGCCTTAATAAGTTGTCATACATAATTTTAAATGGACGCTTCCATTAATAAGGATAACTCAACAAACGCTCATTGCTGATTAGTTATATATTAATTCTTAATCAGCGAACTATTAAATTATAAATGCATCAAGCCTTAGATAGGAATTTACTATCACCTACTAGACTCATGTTTACAAGTTAATGATCAAGCTATTTACTCCAATATTCAGAGTGGAAGCACTTCTAAAAAGAGTGATAAAAAAATGAAAAGTGATAAAATCTTTTTAGGTATATAATCTAATGGGAAATTAAGCTTAGTATCTTATGTAAGAAATAAAATATTCGGTCACAAAACTATTATAATAGTAACGTGCCGCAATATGAAAAAAGAAATTCAGCTATTTCTTTTTTATAATAACGTAATGCATAATGATAAGCGGTTTCTCCATTTTTATCTTTTTCTTTGATATTTAAGGTCGCCAAAAAAAGTGCGGAAATTAAAAACCGCAGTTTGAGTACTTTCTGAGAGTCTGTTTGTCAGAAAGTATACATTTGTAAACTTTCTGACACTAAAATTTTTTGGTCCTTTCAAAGTTTTTGACAATGTCAAAAAGTATACATCGGGGCTCACAATTTTCCTCTCAAACGGCGGTTTTTTAAAAACGCTCAATTTTTCATCGACCTTATACCATGTGAAATAAGAAATTCGACTGTTTCTTTACTATTATATTCTGCTGCATAATGAAGAGCTGTTCTTCCATATTTATCTTTTTCATTGATATTTATACCTTGTGAAATAAAAAATTCGACTGTTTCTTTACTATTATATTCTACTGCATAATGAAGAGCTGTTCTTCCATATTTATCTTTTTCATTGATATTTATACCATGTGAAATAAGAAGTTCGGTTATTTCTTGATATTTAAGTTCTAATGCAAAATGAAGAGCGGTTTGTCCATTTTTATCTTTTTCATTGATATTTATACCGTGTGGAATAAGAAGTTTGGCTGTTTCTTTTCTATCATAACGTAATGCATAATGAAGAGCGGTTTTCTCATCATTATCTTTTTCATTAATATTTATACCATGTGAAATAAGAAATTCGACTGTTTCTTTACTATTATATTCTGCTGCATAATGAAGAGCTGTTCTTCCATATTTATCTTTTTCATTGATATTTATACCGTGTGAAATAAGAAGTTTGGCTATTTCTTTACTATTATATTCTGCTGCATAATGAAGAGCTGTTCTTCCATATTTATCTTTTTCATTGATATTTATACCGTGTGAAATAAGGATTTCGACTGTTTCTTTACTATTATATTCTGCTGCATAATGAAGAGCTGTTCTTCCATATTTATCTTTTTCATTGATATTTATACCGTGTGAAATAAGGATTTCGACTGTTTCTTTACTATTATATTCTGCTGCATAATGAAGAGCTGTTCTTCCATATTTATCTTTTTCATTGATATTTATACCGTGTGAAATAAGAAGTTTGGCTGTTTCTTTACTATTATATTCTGCTGCATAATGAAGAGCTGTTCTTCCATATTTATCTTTTTCATTGATATTTATACCGTGTGAAATAAGAAGTTTGGCTGTTTCTTTACTATTATATTCTGCCGCAATATGAAGAGAGGTTTGCCTATCATTATATTTTTTATTGATATATGCACCATTTGATAGGAAATATTCGCAAAGAGATGGAATATTAAATATCACCGAATTAATAAAGCAATTCTTAACATCATTAGTTTGATCGAAACATACTAAAAATGATTCAAGATTATTATACTGGGCACAATAATTCAGATCGATCCATATATCATATTCATTCTTTAAGAACGTAACAAAATCAATGTTGTGTGAAATAATTGCATACTTCTTGCAATATTCATTTGGTGTTTGATATTTCAAACATTCACTCATGATCTCTTGATTTCCTCCTAAAAATGAAAATTGAAGACATCTTCCAGTTATTTCTGTGCTGAATTTCGTTCTTAAGAATTTGAAACAATCAACTGCTCCATGGTAACAACATAATTCAAGTAATGAATATCCTTCGTAAGAATCTGGATATAAACTACTTTTAAGTTTTTTATCTTTATCAAATCCATCTCTTTCAGTGAATGAAATGAATCTTTCTAAGTCATTATACATAATTGCTCTGTAAATTGTATCTTCTGTATGAATATCGAGATTTCCTGATTTAATTTTTTCAAAATCAACGGATTTGTCTAATTTAATTCCATATTCTTTGTAAAACAGGAAGTTTGAAATAGTTTCAACACAGTTGACCTCAGTGATATGGTAATCATCAGATATGAGTTTGGCAAGAGATAAATATGACTTTGTATAGCGATTATTATACGGAATTATATTGAAAATATCTTTCATAATCTTTTTTGGTGGGTATTTCTTCGAATCAATCAATTCTGTTTTGAATATTTTGTAAATTTCTTTTAATTCTTCTTCCTTGTCCGTTTTCAGTTGATACAAAGCATTATATGAATAAATGTAACATTTATAGATACTTCGCAGTTCGCTGTATTTATTGGGATGAATGTCTTGTTCGGACATCAATAATTTTTTAAAAGGACACATTTGCAAATTAACATACAAATATTTTTAAACTCATTAGAAGATACAAATATTATGTTAGACATGTGGAAATCAATCATCACAAAGATTTCGGAAATAATTTATGAACATTAATTAAGTTCATAGATATGAAATGACACAACAACAATAGAAAAATCGAAAGCAATAAGATTTTCATCCAGGTGATGATTTATACAAGATACTTCAAGGAAATCATTACATCTGAGATATAAATGAACCTGACAAGAATTCTATTGCTAGTGTTCATCAGCTGTGCGAAAATTTACAAATGAAATGCTAAATAAATCAAATCCCAGTACAGATGTTGGTGTAAATGCTTTTCGAAACCACTAAAATCTTAAATGTTTATATATATTCCTAATTCTATTACTTTACACGCCTTAGATTGTTTTGCTTGGAATACATATTTGCAAAGCGTTATATTATATTACATCTTTGGAATTTGATTGAGGAGTTTTCTATAAATCACTAAACCCACTAGAAATCCGTATGCGATCTTAAAATTCTGACATTACAAAAATTTTGTTCACAATTTTGATTATGGAGAGATACGATTTAACGTTGAACTAGTGGATCTTTAGCTCTAATCATATCATGAATTGCATGTAAGTATTTCGATTTCTTCGTGTATGTTCTTTTAAAGGTCCTGAATCCAAAGATTTTTCATATGAATTCAAAGAACGATCATTTGATACTCGCTTGTTTAGGAAGTTTTTATTATAAACTAGTGAATAGTAGCTACTGATTTGCTTCATTTATATTCTATAAGTTTTTGCGAAAGATAATTCGAAATATTTAAAATACATGTGATATTTTTTTCATATTTTTATGCTAGTTGAATAGTAATAAGGAAGTCAATTTGGAAAATTGTTTTCACTTTAGGAGAATATAATTTTCCATTTGGAAAATTTAAAAAGTGAGACGCGCAGGATTCGAACTTTTTTAAAAGTTGATTTAAATGAATTTTAGTGTGGAATATAAGGATAATATCATATTTAAAATAAGAATATACTAGTTTAGGTGGTATTAATTTTTTCGATAAATTTGAGAGTATGTACGTTTAGGGCATGAAAAGTGTCAATTCGCTCAGCGAAAGCTGAGCTAGCTTCGTTCTCGAAAGAATAAGGAAGGAGTGAAGGAGAATGATACAGAAGTTGACACATTCATATCATTTCAATAAATTTTGATCAAATTGAAATTCAATAAAATTCAATTCAATTCATATCCTTCAGTCCGTACATTGATATCCTTCTGCATCACAATGATAACTCGGGCATCAATAGTTCTACAACTAACTCAGAAAAAACAAGATTATTACTTCCTGCTTACAGCTTTTAAAAAGTTTCGATGATAAAAATCACTCTACTCTCGTTTATCGACATATGGTGATAGTAGGTAAACATATTCTTATCGATATTAATAAAAATATTTGTACGAAAATCTTATCCAATTAGAGAGTTATTCATAAAGTATATGATAATTATAATTACTTTATCTTTGTTTTATCTTTGAATAAACAACTTAATTTAAATTGCACAATATTTTTTGGTTGAAAGACAGGAAACTTAGTTGAGTTTGTATTATTTTTATCGTTTAATTCATCGTATCAGTGAGTGATCCAGATATTTAAGATATTTAGAAAAAAAATTATTAATTTGATTAACAAATTTTAATCAAAATAGCAAAAATCTATTTGATAGCTGTAAACAAACAATAATTTTTATTTCAAGCAAAATCACTTACCAATTATGTCTAAACGTATAAAATTGTCAATTTTATGAAAATAAATTGAAAATCTCATGAAATGTAAAGGAGAGTAATATTTTTCAATTTTCTTTTTTTCTTTGTCTCAAATATTTTCTGTTGGGAATTTTCTTGTTATCAAAAAATAATTTTAATATTTGTTTATTTCTATAGAGAAAGGGACAGACTAGCCCATTGTCACTTTTTAATTTAGCAAATGAACGCTTATGGAGTGGAGTTTTTGGGTAAATCTGATTTGCTTATAAATGAAATAAAATCAAAAGAAACCATATTGGCATTATATTATGCAAAAATAAATGATCTTACTTAGTACTTTTAAAGTTAATTTCAGAAAAAATTTGACACAATGGTATCCGGCACATACAAGTGGTGTACAACCAAAATATAAGTTGGTTTAAACATATATTGCTATATCTCATGATCTTACTTAGTACTTTTAAGAAAAAACCAGAATTTTCGAAAAAGTGACACCAACTATTAAAGTTATTTTATTACTAGATTTATTTACAAATTATAAGATAATATCATTAACCGAATATATTTTTAATATAAATAAAAAACTTTTTTTATACAAAAAATTACAATCAATCGATAAATATTATAAAACATTTATTCCAAAAAGATTAAGTAATAGGTGGGATCCTGCATATAATATAATTTTATGTCATAAAGTTTACAAATTTTAGATGGACCACAGTGAGAATGTGAGTGGTTAATTTAAAGGTGGTCTGATAAAGATATCGAAGCTTACTCAACACAGCATGAAGCAGTTTCTAATACACAATCTTACTAGTGGTGTTTCGGTCGCCAGCGCTCTCATAGGGGTGCTGATTTCAAAAACCACTACTTCAAATTATTCAACAATACTCAATGCAGCATGAAGCAGCTACTACTGCTGTATCTTACTGGTAGTGTTTTGGTCGTTGGCTCTTGCACAGTCTCTCAGATTTTCAAAATTTTTTTTCAACACTATCTTGTTTCGCTCTCAGAAAGCTATCCTACAAAGACATCGAAGCTTACTCAACACAGCATGAAGCAGTTTCTAATACACAATCTTACTAGTGGTGCTTCGGTCGCCAGCGCTCTCATAGGGGTGCTGATTTCAAAAACCACTACTTCAAATTATTCAACAATACTCAATGCAGCATGAAGCAGCTACTACTGCTGTATCTTACTGGTAGTGTTCTTCGCTTCTTACTATCAACTCTAAAACTAGTTTGATGTATTATTTATTCAATATTAACCTTAATTATTTACAATTCTCACTTTTTTCATTTTTTAAATGAATCAATCCGTTCCTGCACCCCTTGCTGATACAAAACAATATATTGATTTCATTCATTATCTTCAATATGGAGTTCAAGCAGAGATGCGTGCTAACTGCAATTATCGGAAAGATTCGCATTTGAATTCAGATGGAGTAACAATTATTAGACATTACTGTAGATGGGGAAGTTGTAGTGCTAACTTTACCTTTGAAATGAAATCTAATCAATACAGATTTGTAAATGGACATCATTTTCATAATCATGTTGGTGAACCACCGTCTTTTAAATATATACATATATAAATATATACATATATAAATATATACATATATAAATATATACATATATAAATATATACATATATAAATATATACATATATAAATATATACATATATAAATATATACATATATAAATATATACATATATAAATATATACATATATAAATATATACATATATAAATATATACATATATAAATATATACATATATAAATATATACATATATAAATATATACATATATAAATATATACATATATAAATATATACATATATAAATATATACATATATAAATATATACATATATAAATATATACATATATAAATATATACATATATAAATATATACATATATAAATATATACATATATAAATATATACATATATAAATATATACATATATAAATATATACATATATAAATATATACATATATAAATATATACATATATAAATATATACATATATAAATATATACATATATAAATATATACATATATAAATATATACATATATAAATATATACATATATAAATATATACATATATAAATATATACATATATAAATATATACATATATAAATATATACATATATAAATAAAAAAAAAAAAAAAAAAAAAAAAAAAGGTAGTGGGGCTTCCAGGGGCTGCGCCCCTTCTAGCCCCGAAGATGTTTAGTATAAATGAAGTTTTTATTCGGAGGGCTTCCAGCCCATAAGAAATTTTTCCCAAGACCCAAGAGGAGGACCGAACCCCAGCCGACCAGCCGTTGACTTTTTTGTCAAGACTTCTTCGTAAATGTTTTGTCGAAACTTCTTCGTAATGAGCGTAAATGACCAAAAATAATGTTTATGTTAGCATGTTAGATCTAACACGTTTTCTAACATGTTTTCTAACATCGTAGAAAACTCATGATTTCATCGTAAATGTTTTGTCAAGACTTCTTCGTAAATGTTTTGTCAAGATTTCATCGTAAATGTTTTGTCAAGATTTCATCGTAAATGTTTTGTCAAGACTTCTTCGTAAATGTTTTGTCAAGACTTCTTCATCGTAAATGTTTTGTCAAGACTTCTTCGTAAAGACTTTGTCAAGACTTCTTCATCGTAAATGTTTTGTCAAGACTTCTTCGTAAAATCAGACAAAAATAATGTTTATGTTAGAATGTTAGATCTAACCTCTTTTCTAACCTCTTTTCTAACATCGTAGAAAACTCATGATTTCATCGTAAATGTTTTGTCAAGACTTCTTCATCGTAAATGTTTTGTCAAGACTTCTTCATCGTAAATGTTTTGTCAAGACTTCTTCATCGTAAATGTTTTGTCAAGACTTCTTCATCGTAAATGTTTTGTCAAGACTTCTTCGTAATGAGCGTAAATGACCCAAAAATAATGTTTATGTTAGAATGTTAGATCTAACACGTTTTCTAACATGTTTTTAACATCGTAGAAAACTCATGATTTCATCGTAAATGTTTTGTCAAGACTTCTTCGTAAAATCAGACAAAAATAATGTTTATGTTAGAATGTTAGATCTAACACGTTTTCTAACATGTTTTCTAACATCGTAGAAAACTCATGATTTCATCGTAAATGTTTTGTCAAGACTTCTTCGTAAATGTTTTGTCAAGACTTCTTCGTAAATGTTTT